CTACCGGACAATGCTTGCTGATTTCAATTCATAATTTATATAATTAATTACAATTAAATTTTAATCTACTTATCAAAACGAATGTTTTTTTAAAGACAAAAATTAAGACAAAAAAGGAGGAAAGTATCTTTTGATAATTTGATACAAAGCGCAAACAATTAATTTATAGCTTTTGTTTGATTTTGTTTAGACCAAAGTAAGAAATGCCAAATTATAATATCATTAATGAAAGGATGGTAAAGGTTATTGTTTATTAGGGAACGGAATTTTTTGGTTTTCAAACAAAAAGCAAAAAATAAAATCAAAAAAGGTGAAGCAGCCCGTTACGAATAATTGATAAAAAAGAGGAATCTGAACAAGGAAGCAGTGAAGAGTTGAGAGGAGACAAGCGGAGATGGCACGAATGATAACGCCTATCCGATTCTTTTAAGAAGTCCTTTTCGATGTACGCCAGCGGAACTTCTTCTTCCAGATAATTTCATGCAACTAAATAAGTAGAATGCAGGAAGATAATGCACCGTGTGATGAGAAAAATTGCATTTCCAAATTAGTTAATAACACAACTAATTTAAATCATAATTCACACGTTCTTCATGATATCTGCCCATAGAATCATTACTTCGATTCTGCGCAATAAGCAATAAAAGTGCTTTCTCGGAAGAGATTCATACAGTAATATTCTGGTTGAAAGAACCTTTAAGTATCAGAAACGGTTATTTTTCATCCAATCAACATGTAATCTCCTTCTGCGTAAAACTTCCAAGAATGCTCCATCAGATTGTAACATTTACGTTATTTATAATTAAATGGTATAGGCAGAACTTTATTATACAAAAACGATGTGCATATGCTGTCATCAAAAGTCGAATTTACATTTTGCATCACGAAAGACAGAATTTGACTAATTGAGATTTACTGCAGAATTTAGTACTTTTATAAGAATACCTGATGAGAAAATGGATTGCTTAAACCTTTTTCAAAGCATAAGAACATGGACAGATTATTTTTAATTAGTTGAAAAGGTAAAAAATGGTAGTATCAAATTTAAAAAGAGTGCATAGAAAGTAGGACGATATGACTAATAAAACTGTCTGAAATTTAATTTTCTTTCTAGCACCCAACTGATCACATCAATCAATCAACAACAGTACAACATGGCACAGGATTACGCCTCACCTCACTGAGGTTGATTCATTTTAACATTTTCCCATTCAACAAAGGCAATTCCACAATTTGTTATCTACAAATTCAACCACCAATGAATTTCACTTGCTTAAACTGTTCCAAAAAAAACTTGCTTAAAATATAATTGCTTCAAAAAGTTCCTATCGGAGAAGAATTTAATTCGATTCGAAGGCTTTCGAAATTACTATAAACGACAGTGCTTAATTAATCTTTCAACTATTAGAAATTTGATTAAATCATATGCTTCACTTCAAATATTTTGTCAGGATATTAAAATCATTCAATTATTTGATGCTGAATTCAACTGTCGCACTAATTTGTTCAAACTTTCAATAATTTTCTCCACTGACATTTCTTCAATAAACGTACACTCCTTCTTAATGATTTATGAAGCCCATACTTCGATGTAACTGAATTCAATTTTTTGGAAATCTCCAGAAATTTTTTCCGATTTCAGAAGCTTAACAATTTGATGTGATTACTAGCGACTATCACTTTTAGAGGATCAAAACTCAATGAATTAACTCTACAGTTCGCAAGAAACGATATACAGATTTATCCAAAGCAAACACATCTATTTCTTTCAAAGGCTAGAAGAATGTTCTTTTCAATTCATTTATAATTTGAAATAAGCTGCTTCAGAAAGTGAAAGAGGAATTGAATTGTCTATTTAGTTATTACTGTATGCAAAAAAGCAGGAAAATATCCAGCATTTCTAGACTTTCTGATACCGTAATAAGGAACGGGGTCGGGAACAGGAATGGGAACGGAAACGGAATAGTGTAAGAGAAGAGAAATGAACCTATCCCGAACAGAATCAATCCATCCAGACGAACTGCGATACAGCCCATTGATTCGATGTGCAGGTGCAAACATTACATTTGCATATTTTTGGTGGCAAATAATGATTTGAAGATGTCAGAAATGATATTGTCTGTTGGATGGAATGAGTGCTGTGATATGATGATCTATAACACTAACTATAGGATGTAATGGGCCTTGGAGGCACACGTGTTCCATTCACCGAATAGCGGAAATTCAGCTCATCCTGCCACAGTTCGGGTGTTGTCGTTGTTATTAGTTGATGGAATTAAAATGAATAATTAGAAATGGATGAAGCATTCCATCCCTTTTTTTAGCTTTTCTCCTCAAAGGATACAGCACAATTCTAAAACAAATAAAACTTCCATTGAACAAATGAGGGATCAAAAATACTGCGGCTTATCCTAAATGCTGTCGAATCTTATTTCTGAAAATGTTTAACAGATAATACTAACATCTGAGAAGTGTAATGACTTTTTGAAAAGTGAATTTTTTCATAGCCAATGAAGTTGGCTGTTTTGGTGACTATGATAAAGTACAATCAAAATTGAGATGGGAAATGGTTATCGAATGTAAAATGATTTCTGACACCCGAGATCTATTGGGAAGGAAGGAAACCTTTAATCAATCCTCTTCAAATAATTGCAAATTTTATTTTGAATGCTGTAAAATACCACCATTCTATGATTTCATGATAGTCCATGGTCGCGCGTTTGTTTATTCTTTTTAATCATAAATATTGGATGGTAAAATTCAAATGTTTTATGATAGGAGAGAAAGTTGCTCAAATATTAATTGACAGTCCTGCTGATGCAACAAATCATTAAGTTCAATAAAAGAAAGTAAGAATAGTATTTTGTTTTCACAAGTTGAGTTTGAATATTTATTGGTTGTATAAATATTAAATATTTATTGAAGGGAAAATGATGAGGTGCTTGGAAGATAAATAACATTGAAAAGAATAGTTAGGGCCATAGGGATTAATGGTAACATATTTGCTGATGGATGATCCTTTCAACAATAACAAGAGCAACAATAATAATGATAGGAATTCTTATGAGATACAATTTATGAGGGAAATGACGGAGTGGAGTGATTCCATAAATTCTCTTCTTCTCATTACATTATATTGGCTATAGCAAGAAAGAAGAGTGAAGGGAAGACAAGAGATGGGCGATCTCTGGCCAGATGTGCCGTGCCGTTGCCGCCGTTGCCATTGCCGCTTCTGCCGCCCTTGATTATTTACTTGCTGATGAGAAAAATGCAATTTTTATGATAGTTTGGAAGGATTCTGGAAAAAAAGGAAATATGCGGGCGGCTGCAGCGGAAAAATAATGACCTATTAGCACCCCGTTACCCTCATTTCCCTCTCTCTCACATGGTATGCTGTTTCTCTTATTAACGATAATGATCTCTCCGCTATTCATCATCCACTCCTTATTTCACTATCGTTATTCCCGAATGTACCTGATCCAAGTGAATTTTATTGAAAACTTCTCAGTTGTATATAGTGATACACTCTTTCTGACTTTTCGTGCCATAAATAGAATACAATTAATAAATATGTGAGATAAAAGTAACATCGAGAAAGAAGGTGGCCAGATTCATTGTCTGTCTTCTGTAAATATGATGGCCGTCGGGGAGATAAATCCCGTTTAGAGGAGGTGTTATTGGATTAAATGCTGTGAAAGTGATATTTCCGGGAATGTTACTGTAATCTTTGTGCAAGATTGGAATGTATCGTAATGCGATGATAGAGGGAAATGGAATGGTTGGTGAGTGTACTGATAACTATCACAAAACAATGCAACAATGAAATGGATAGGATTGTAGCAATTAATGCTGAAAAGAGAAAAGCATCTCTTCAGGTAAACTGCACTGAGAACAATAGGAATACTTCTTAACTGTGTCCTTTCAATCCAATACGGACGCCATAAAGTCTAGCTAGCATTGATTGCATGCTATTAGAATGATGTATGGTAATGAGAATGATGGATCCGGCGAACATGCCGACTTCTCGATACTAACGGGCTGAAAAAAACGGAGAAGAGAAGGAAAGGTTGAGAGCTGGTTCTATCAATAATAGCTGCGAGATGTTACATCTCGACTAGAATGGAAAATGCCGATGAGATGATTTATCGAAACATCAATAGGTGTCATTTCATTTAGGCCATCGATAATAACATTGATAATATTAATAAAGGAAAGTATGATGGTGAAGAGAACGGGATAAAGGAAGTGGTCAGGATGATGGAGTCAAGAAGAGGGATCCGATCAAAGTCTCCTCTACCAGCCACGTACATCAGCGTGCTTCCAATAATAAACTATTTGTGTGCACAACATTCTCCAAATGATAAAACATGCACATCTGATGTTTTGACACCTCTCTTACCTTCTCATTATGACTCGTAAACTCTTTAAATAAAAATTTGAAAAAATCTTGAAAAGTTTGATTTATTTTTCCACCTTACACACTAATATGAAAGTATTTTTATTAAAAGAAATTCGGAACAAAGTGAAAGAAAGTGGAATTTCTTTCCCCATTACTACCAAACATACTAATCTACTACTGCATACATAAAAAATGATGTAATGAAATAACTGTATACAGCTAATTTAATCAATCTTAGAAAAGGATAGCATAATGAATCTATCTTCAATGTGCATATACAAACTACCTTTTATATGCAAATCATTTTGATACTAAATTATCTTTTGTGTTGATAAAGTTGGGCTTGCTAGAATATTCAATGGAATCATTATTGATATCCAGTATTTTAGTAATCACTCGATTCCAACAATATAAATGAGCAAAAAAGTTTTGGGATAAGAAAGAACGAAAGTCAAAGGTACAAACTTAACAAAATCAATATTTGCAGCTTACATTCTTGAACTTTCTTTATGCATACATATTAGCACTTGTACTTAGTGTTCGACGATTTTGTCAAAACTTATTCTGAAGCTCAACAGACAAATGATGGCCAAAATTTCATTTATTGCTTATTTTGACAATTGCCAGAATATGGGTAACATTTAAGATATTCATACTCGGTATTTGCAGGGGGCAAAATTCGAATTAGCCGAGATACATGCTGTTCAGCTGGCAACTGACATTGGCGATTTTGTTTTGGTTTCATCAACCTATAAAAAGTTTTTATTTCAGTTATTATTTTGCTACTTGTCGCATTTGAAGAAGAATGGAAGTACAATATATTAAGCTAGTAAATAGGAGGTGCAACTGGAACCGCTAAAATTTGAAGTTTTTGAGCCTGACGAATCAACTTTGCGATATCATTTTGCTCAGGTGAAGTTGTTGATGCGATTAATTTGCGCACCATTCGTAAACCATTCAAATTCACAATAACTTTGTTTAGCTCATCAATTACCTGAAGAAAAGAATTTGAACACATATAAAGAAATGAAGAGTCCAAATACCGATGCAGATTTTTTCCAACCAGATCTAAGGACATGAATTTTTAACGATTTATGTTTACATGTATAAAATGTATACTGATGAATCTCATACCTAATCAATAATCTGTTAACACGTCACGTAGATATAGCTGAGTAACCTAAAAGAATAAAATTTGAAATAAGAATTAACCGACAAGGGAAAGTGTTTTCAAATCCTCCACTGGATATCGTTCCTTCACGGGAGCTATCAATTGACCACATTGTAAACGGACAAGCTTAGTAAACGCCGACATGTCAACATCGAATACCCGACACTGAAAGCGTATGCTGAAGGACTGATTGAAGCATCAAAATATTTTAGATATAAAGAATTAATTTAGATGCAGCAACCTTACGAAAAATTAATTTTAAACTTTCTAACTCGGGCTTTGTTGCATCTCGAACCGTACTCCCCCGAAATATGTAACATAGAAGAATATCCATTACAACCTTTATAATTATCAGAAAAGCTTTCAAAGAAATATTTCCTTTCTTGCACTCATATTTTCATATTCTCTCTTCATTCCTCGTAAACTTTCTAGTCTTCAAGTTCATTGCTCATTTACTTGAAATTAAGAATTAATAACAATGTTAGAGGAGTAGAAATTGTCTTGTAACCAAAGCCTAAAAATCCTAAAAAAATCCGTTATTTATGAGCTTATGGAAATTATACAGATATCAATCCGCTGGGTTCATTTGGTCAATAAGTGAGGGCTTCACGTTGATTTGCTTGCAAGTCCTTAAAATTTTAGGAAAATAATTCTACCTAATACTTACAGGGATATGTAATTGTATATCAATTACAAGGAACCTTTTTCAGTAAGCTTTTATGCTCCTTAAAATTATCATGCATGCCATTTATCAGTCGTATTCTCCGTGAAAAATCATCCGCCACATCATTTATCGATTTTTGTTGCTTTTGCAATTGAACTGATAGCTGATAAAGACCTGAAAATATCAGTTCTTCTAGATAAACTTGTTTTATGTTTCGATACCACCAAGAAAATTATAATAGATTGCCAGCAGATTTTCATCGCATCCCCAAGCTATCACTTTCATGTACAATCTCGTGCTAATCTGATCGCAATTCAATACATCCTAAAACGTAACGAAATAACCGCAATTTCAGGAATTTCAAAAAAATTGAAATCACCACAACTTTCAAGAGCATTAGCCTTGGTAACAAAAGACTTTTTGAAATTCGCTGCACAGCAACCGATTTCATTATCGACTTCATTAGTAATCTGATCGAGCTGAAGAATTAAACGAAATTTTTTTCTGAATTTTCTATTAGTGTTTATTCATGTTTATTACTGTATAAAAATGATTCTCATTTTTTAATACCAATTATTATAGCCAGTAGTTGTATAATCAGAAAATGGAGTTGATGACTTTCATAATACATAAAAGAGAGAAATTTTTGACTCCAGATCATTGATTTGTATCAAATAATTTAAATCACAAATTGTCAAAACTTCAAAAAAATGAATTTAATTTAGTTTTATTTTTGTTGTAGAAGAAGCAACAAATGTCTCTACAAGGTCATAAGTTACTCGTTTTTAATGAAAGCCAAAGTGAGCAGGCACAATGAAGATATCATTGTGGATATAAAACTCAGAATTATGAGGAATGAATTCCCATGACTATCGAATTAAGGCAACAAGATGAACTTTTGGCCAGTCAAGAATTAGTTACCGTCTCTATGGTGGAATCAATTCGATACGCTGCAGCATCGAGCTCTCTCATATAAGCAACAGCTTGTCGCACATGACGCGGTCTTGTCGAGTCCATAAGTTTCATATAATGTGATGCTAATGTTATCACTTTCCATAATTCCAACTGTTTTGACTGTTTCCGAAATTTATCCTAAAATAAATTCCCACTCTAATGAGACGTTAATCTCATCTTTCTACAAAAATGGTTCTTTTTCTCAGCTGCTTTTCAAATTTCATCACTAACCAGATGCATTTTTTTGAATTCGATTCTGATTATGCTCGAGTCACAATCTCGAACATCGCTGAAAATTTTGTGGCACCACTTACAAATACAAGAGAAACTTTAATATTAAAAAAAGGGTTTGATCATAAATTGAATCCATAGAATAATTACCCGAATTTAGGAAACTATCGCATTAAAATGATCAGATTGACGGTTTTTCCTTTTGAGCTATCGTGTTTAAATTTTAAAAGCGATGACACAGCGGAGAAAAAATAAAGTTAAGCTTTTATTAATGTAAACAGTGAAATAGAGCAAAATTATTTCCTTATTCTTCTATTTTCAAGGTTTATGACAATATGATGATCTGATGAGGTAATTAAAACACTTTACATCCAAACTGGAAGTTAATTTCTTAATTGAAACTCCAACACAACAAATAAAATAGCAAGAAGTGAAAATCAGAAACGGTAAAATCACTGAAAAAAATAACACCGCTTTTCACGGAGTGGCATGGCATCATTTACCATCACAGCAACAACCAGTACGCTGTCTTTGAAATTTCCTTAAATGACTACTCTTTGTGACATGCATACATTTTATAGCGTATTATCAATTTTCATAATTTACATAACGATCCAGTTAAGTAATTCGTTTCTTTCTCAAATCTTCCTGTTAACGGAAACAGTAAAAGAGCCATCTGTGGCATTTCATATAAAAATAACGGGCATTTTCCAGTTGTTTGTCTTTTTTTACTTTGAAAGTTACTGAATTGGGCAATGCATACATCCGTAATTTCAAAAAAAGACAAATTAAAAATTCTTCCAAAAACAATGCTGAATAAACGAAAAATTGAATTCTCACGCAGTTTGAAAAAAAGCCATTCCTTTCAGCAAGTGGAACCGTTCCCGCTTCAAAATCATTCCTATAATTCGCCATCTCAAAAGCGCTGTATGGGTCTAATTCCGCACCATTCGCTTGTGTAGTCATTTTGTCAAAAGAACACTATCTCCGGCAATACTTATAATTGACACGGCTAACATAAAATGAATATGCATCTGATGTATAGCATGCATCGAGGACGTGCAATCCATTGATAGTGATACTCGTCTTTTAGACAAATGCATAGCAAATAGCTTCAAGAGATGGCTATACAACTTAAAGATGAACGTAATGAGGTCATCACATTAATTCTTTACAATACGAGACCATTAAAAAAACGAAATATATATGTCATTAAAAAAAGAATCGAGATCTTAGAAGTGAGTACTCTTTCTCCGCCAGTTGTGAAATGCTGGAAGGATGCGAGAATTTCACGAAGAGGAATCAGATCATGATTGGGAGTGTAAATAGAATGCTGGGGAAATTTCTGAAACTATTACAAGCGAACAGACAGGTATTTAATGAACTTTGTTTTTGTAGAGCAGAGTGAGCGTAACGATAATCATCTATCAGGCGCAGCCATTGTCGATCCCTTCATCCTGTGTTCATTTCAATTTGAAAGGCTGCAATTTTCAGAATTGTAATGGCTGGTGAAGACCGCGCAGGAACTGACTTTAGCACACTCCTATTTTGCCCAAGTACAGTTTCATCGTTACCCATCATAACTAAGATAAATAGTGAATTTGAAAACCACATATATTATTATATGTAGATAATGGATTCAAAATGTCTCCCTAGAGTAAAATTTTTTTCCCATATTTGACCACTTCTTGGTGGCAAATCAAACGGTTTAATGCTGGGTCTCATCTTTGTAATGAAACATTTTATACTGACTCTGTGACAGGAAAACAAAAATGAAACCATGAGTTAACAGACAGAGAAAGGCAGTGGATAATTTGAAATCTTAATTTTAAGATGTCATTTGTAAGTGGTAACAAAAATTATTAAGTCAGGCTTATTATTACAAAAATTACCAAACATAATACATTACAAAGTGAAAACAACCATGATGTCAGTGTGAAATAAACCTGGGGAAAAATGAATGAGTACTGTTCAGAAACAATGAGATAATACAGAATATCTGAGCGTTACACAAAAAAAAAAACACAGCTAATCGGATAGAACCCTGCACAATAAACCAATAAACCTGAAATTGCAATATACAATATCAAAATTTCTTATAAGACTCAACGCATAAAGTTCTTTTTTTTTAAAAAAAACTTCGATCAAAGCAATGATGTTTCAAACTCATCAACCATGAATGATTACAATTATAGAGGCTTTATATATATATTCAAAAATAACTATCCACGGAATAACGGTAACTATTCAAATAACTGATTATTGAATTGGAGAATTTTATGAAGCAAAAAAAAGTCAAAATCAAAACTCGAAGCATGAACAAACTTCGAGTTTTGATTTTAATTTCTTATAGAAAAACATTATAAAGCACTACTAAATACAGAACTAGGTGGTTTGCACGAGCAGTGAAACTTGAAATATCAAATGCGACGGTTCAGTAGCTGTTAGCAAGGTCCAGTTGAGCTGCGCTTCAGATGCACAGTGCTAAATAAGCGCAGCCTTGCAGAAAATGCGGCAAGGCTGTACATAGCAAGTCCAAAAACTAGTATAATTTTTAACAATAAAGTTTCAGAGTATTTTGTTAAATTAACTACAATAAAGAATTAATCCATTCGAAATTTAGCATGGGAATTGATACGGAAAATAATTTTGGAAAAAATGCTAGCTAACCTTACTTTAAACACAGTGCTTCAGGCACAGTAAGAGTTAGATATGAAGACGGTAAATAAAGTAAAACCTTACAAAATTTTTTTTTAAATTACTGAAGTAGATTTTATAATTTATAAGTTAACTATTTTGCAAACAAACCAGCGTACCAATTTTTCATCCCTAATCATAAATCGATAAAAAGAAAGTACCAAAGAAAAAATACTTTGCAGAACTTCAAATCATATAAAAGGTAATTGACGGTTTTATTTTTCAAATCTAAGTTACAAGAAAATCCAATGCATTTTAATTTCCGGATTTTAAAACTATAGAAAACTTTCAGTAATTAGTTAACCTTAAAAACTGGAAGAGATTTGAGATTAATTCATCGGCATGTAGTATCAATCATGACAACTTTTGAAATATGTATTTCGAAACTATAAAAGAAAGAAATTTCAAAACTGGGAAACATGGTCACTCCAATGTACAACAGCTTTCAGGATTATTTCATGCATAACCAGACTGTGTAACTCTTTTCCGAATATGAGGTATCTATGGCAAAATCACAATATCACAAAACGGCCAAATTTTCCAAAACAAATAAAAATGATAACAATGAATAAAGGCAATACTTATTTTGTACTGTGAGAAGTAATCTGCCATGCTCTGCGCTTCAACGATTCAATGTATGACATCATCTTTAAAGCCGGACCAAACGGCATTTCCAAATGCCGTATCAATAGCTCAGTTGTCAGCAAAATTAAAGCTTTTCCATCAATTTGCTAAAAAAAGATTTACACATCTTTTAATTTAATTATCATGTCATGCCATTATACTCTTTTCAGAAATATATGAATAGAACTGAATGATAAGCAACAATACGATGATTTTCCTTATCTTATCTATTGAGTAAATTCACATCGCAAATATTTATTTTAAAAAATGTTTCTGTAGATAAAAATATATTCACAGACTTGTAAGCTTAACTTTACGAAAAAACCTTACATTTTGTGAAAATTTTTCTGCAATACTTGCATCAAACATATTTTCTACTTCATTTGCAACACGCTGCGTGGACCACTCTGCCAAATCCATGTACTGATGACCTAAAAATTAATTCATGGTAACACTTTCATAAATAATACACAAAAGACCCATACATATCTCCTTGACTGAATTTATCTCTCAAGGATGAAACATACAGACATTAGGAACCAAGCACATGGAATGATAACAGAATTTCGCTTCGAAAATCTGTTGATGTAGTATGAAAACTAGCCAACCTTCGCAGTCTTCCGAATCATCACTCTCGGCACCGTACTTCAACGCACCACCGCCTATAACAATAAATTCTTCGAATTCCAAATTCTATACTAACAATTAAAATAAAAACCAATCAGATTACAATTTTCTTTTGCCCAAAACAAAGATGTGAAAAATATACTAACCTGCAGTAGTACTCACAACTCCATCATCATTGTGGCAAGAACATAATGAACAACAGATTGGTTCCTCTGTTAAAAAGTTGCGACACACATTTAATTTTGAAATAAATGCATGCAAGTAATCCCATGCAGAGGCAAGAGTCTTTAATGCTGGTATAGCGCGTACGTGTGTTACTTCATGGATTTCAGCTAAAAATTAAACAATAAGAAGGAAAAAATAAGAGAAATAGATAGCCAAGGAACATCACAATCGATTCTCAAACTATCTATTTCTCTCATGCAGGTTTCATTCCAAAAATGTGATAAGTGCCAGCTAAGCAAACTCAAAAGATACTCACGAATTATGCTCTGTCTAATTCTGCCACTGGTTTCTCTTTGTCCGGCTTTTAGTGTCCCCCTCTCTTTCTTTTTGATTTATTTACCCGCGATTTCGCCATTACCAGACAGTTACAATGAAAGGAACCCTCGAATATGACTACAACAAATGTAAAAATTCACTGCATCTTGATTAACCTTACCAGTAATAGATAAAATTCTTAGGGTTCCAGGATCGACTTTTTCCAACACAAAAGAAGGATCAACAGCGCAATTTACAATTTGCTGCATTGTTTCTCTTAAAATATGATGCAAAGTGCCAGGTCCAAATTTCTCCGGCAGTTTACGAACAAGTGAAGCGTTAAGAGTGGGTGCACATCGACAACCTCGATTTAAATAAACAGTCACTGAAAAAAATTTCAATTCATGACGAAAAAATGAACAGTTTCCGAATTTAAAAAAATCAAAATTTTCATTTAAAGAAACGATTTTACTTTTATGAACTGGTTGTACATCAGTCGTTGACAGAACGATGTCTGGAATAGCAAGCGCATTTTGTACGCCATCTGGAGAGGAAACTACCTAAAAAGTGACTTCTCGCATTAGTGTATGTAGCAAAGTTAAAGAAGTTAATCAAAGAAAACATGAGATCAAGCCTTCAAAATTACCTTCCGAGACTGCCTGATGACTGGGCCTCCAGGAAGAAGCGGTGATGATACCGTTTTTCGTGCACGAGGTTCTGGAAAGAAGCACTTGCCCATATAACATTAAATATTTTAATACTGATAAAAGTAAACTAAAGATTTTGATAAATATTTAGACGAATTTTTATGAACCTACCAATACGATCATTTAGAATCGCAACTGTATCTGCTGCACCGGTCATTATTTGCTGGTTCGACGTACTACTTGCGGAACTTGTTTCCACTGTATGTGTTTGTTTAGCGATCTATAAAAACGATCTTTCGCTTTATCATTTCAAACTAGAAGAAACTATAATAATAAACAAAGAGCGCTCCTGGTTAAGTTCTTTCCTAATTTCTACCAGTTCCATATAATTTAAAAGAGATGATGAAAATAAAATAAAAAACCGCTTATTCCAGTGTGTACCTGATCAATTATATCAAGTAAATGAGATGAACAAGAACCATCTGAAGGATTACGATGAGAATCGGGAATTGGAGAGGTTCGCTTCCGCTTGCAATTTTGTTTTCGTTGAGAACCGTTTTTGGTATCGGCTGATTTCTTTTTGCATATTTTCGCTGAAACTTATAAAGTAAAAAATCACAGACAGTTTTGGTATTTATTGAAAGGCTGTTATTGTTTATCATTGATATATTGATAATGAATTTTTGATTGCTTCCACATTTCCTGCAAAGTACAGATCCAGTTAAAGTAATTCAAAATTAAATGAAAACTTTTGTAAGAATAGCGAAAACGAAAGAAATATACATTTCTTTAAAGTAGCGATTTTCGGAGCTTTTGGCAACGTTTCTTTTTGTACCACTCGTTGCAAAACTTTTCCTATAAAAAGTCACTATATTAAACAATAAATAATAAAATTCATAAATCAAAAAAAAAATGTAAAACATTACAGTACAATTAATGCTCAACTTATGAAATAATCTGTTTTTTAACAATAATCTCTATCAACTGCAACAGTAGAGCGATACCGCAAGATGAATAATATTCTAGCCTTTTTTTATTTAAAAGATGCACATAAAATGATTCTACGAAGAGCATATGTGCACATCACATACTCTTTTAGTGGTAAAAATCAAGAGTATACCTTTTACATGATTCGGTGGTTGCAGTTCAAGACCACATTTAGCTGCCCATCCAACTGGGAAAATAAAGCGACTGTCATAACGTTCCTTACTATCATAAGCTTTGTTCCAGCCATCATAACTGATTGTTAAATAATCGCCTTTTATATCAACCACAGTTGCAGGACATGGGCGACCATTGAAATTTTTGCGATCAATCGCTTCACATTTCATACCCACTTGGAATCTATTTTTCCTTGGATGATATTTGAATGGAATCTGCAATCACTTTAAGAGTGAATAACTTATAGCTGTCAATATGCTGCTGATCGCGTGATTGTTTCAAATGTGGAAAAAATATTGCAAATACTTCGAATAACATTGAATGAATGAAAAAATCAAGTTTGCACAGTTCAAAAATCTTATAACTATATACCGGTTTAAAAGACTCTGAAGGTGCTACTGGAATGCTACCGTCTGCTGCAGGTTTTAATTGATTTTCGATGAATTTGTGAAATGAAGCTAAGTTATACATGAAACCAAATGGAGGCTGCAAAAGCAAGTCATTCCTTTCGCAATCTCTGAAATAAATTAAACACAAATTACACGACACATTTGTTATTCGCAAGCAATAAACCTCTTATCCATGCTAAACAGTAAATAAAACCTTTCCCTCAACTGTATATGACTTGTCCATATATGATTTCTTTTCTTTCAACATAGATCAAAATGTCTCTTCGTCCAGGTTCTTTCATTTTTTTCTTTATGGTGGAATAGATCTAATCCTGTCCTTTTCATACACTTCATATTTTCGGTAAGAATGAAGCATTTCTAAGAAATAAAATAAGTAAAGAAATGCACCTACCCAACAGGTTTGATTCGTTCGTCATCACATATAAGCCAGTGGTCATTACTTCCATCTTCACCATCAAGTCGAAGACATACCCAAAGCGAATGAACCGCAACGATTGTCGCTAAACACTGCACCTCTTTACCTTCAATTTATTTAATAATTACAAGCAACTTGAAACTTTTCGGCGATCTCTAGTTACTCTAACTTTATTACCAATCCTTTATTGTACTTTTAGTTTTTTTAAGCTTCTCAGATTCATTTATACTTTAGTGCAGTGCAGTAGAAATGTGTTCGTAAAGCGTCCTTTGAGAAATGACTATTCAGAAATAAAACAAAGAAAAATTGCCACTTTCAAAGAATACGAATAAAAAACAAAACATTACCTCTCGGATCTGGCACTTCTACCTTCTTGCCAACAGTGAATTTATTTTCAGGTGGTACAGGATCTTGATAAAAGCAATCTTCCGATGCTGCAACGGCTTCGGTTTGCTTCAGATATTCTTGCCAGGAAAACGTGATATTTGTGGTATTTTTGCATGCATTTTCCTGGAATATACTTCAATATTTCAATTCTCATAATTTTATGAATTTAATATGTAGAGTGGAATTTGAAAAAAGAAGTTAGAAATTTCGTCGTAGCATACTTTTCGAGGTGGCTGCACATCGAAAATACCTTTCTCATCATCACTTCTTACAACCTTATGTGAATCTGGCGGCGAAACATGCATACCATCTTCGTCCTGTGAGAACAATTAATTTACAAGTTGAGAAATCTAATTATTCAAAGAAACAAATCTTCGTATTTTTAATTTCCATAAGCCATAAGTCTTATTTCACACTTCAGTGCTTCCCTCTTGCATTTATAAAGAGTGACAAAACAGTTGAAGTACTGAAAATATTGAGAAAAAAACAAGGCTAATAATATATGTCAGAGAATTCAAATATTTCAAAAATAAAAAATAAAAATTCGCAATAAACTTCCAAATAAGCTATCCAAGTTCTTAATAACCTCATTAATTATATTTTATGGTATAGCATTCGATCACCATTAAAATTTCTTAACATGACAAGCAGCATGATGACAAGACTGCTCTATTCAGGAGATCAGTAATATAATAATCAAATAATCACAAATATTAAAATTCAAAATATATAAAAAATAATCATACTTATTGGTTTTATCATTAATCAAGTCGAATCATCAGAGCAATAAGATAGGAATTAGTTTATGGAAGTGAGTAAACGTACAGCTGATGAGATGGGTGAGTCAGTGTGTTTGTCTTCATAGATCACCAATTTCTGCTCATCGTCTGCATCTTCGTCTTCCGTAATAAATATTTCTTCTTTGCAATTTTCTTCTCGGCTTATTTCTTCCATTATTCACCTAGAAATACTTAGCAGAACAGTGTGGATATGGACTTCCCGTAAGTCCAGACAACTTACCAATTTCCTGATAGCAGAGAAATCCAGAAATGTCTACACCCATCCACATCCAACACACATACATACAGACGGAGACGGAAAATATGTACGACGGCAACCCACGTATAGTTCAGCTTCGCTTACATGCATACGTCACGTGTCTTTCTGCATTCATCCATGCAACATGTGTGTTTCTCTGTGCTCTTTGCATGTCTGCAGTGAGTGATTAACAGCGAGGAAATTCCCGATGATCTCAGTTTGGTATTTCTGAAGAAAAGCATAGAAACATTGACTGGATAGGAAGGAAAGAAATCAGATGTATCAGATGGATGGACAACAGGGAATCAGATGGATGGAGGATTCAGCTTCAGTCCGTGATTTCCAGGAAGAAATGGCAAAGCACTGATTTATGTCCTCAGAATTATGCGTTCTGAACTCAAACCCGATGTGCTAAGTTCTATTGGGAATTCCAAAGTTCAGTTCGATAATTTGCCTCTTGGCTTGGGAAGAATTTTCGTCTTTTTCAAGTCTAATAATTCTTGCTCTTTTGCAAAAGAAGCAGATTGATGAATTATCAATACTCTCGAAAATCGAGGAAATTTTCATAATTTATTCATGCACCATGCAATTTTTAGAATGATTTCTTTCAGTCATCAATTCGGTCACAGTCTCGTTCATTCGGATCAGATTTGCTAATCTCTTAAATCAATGTTGCCTAAATATTTTCATGTTATCGATCATTCTTCGTTAAGTGGTGTAATTTTACAATTTTGCGAGAAAGTTATTTATTGATGACTGGCATTTCAGGACACTGAAAACTTCTTTTACTCATCATATCCAATAAGGGCATGCAGTCAGTAATTCATGATATATCTTATTTATTTATGTAATTGTATTGAATTGAGACGAATTTTTTTTCTGAAGGATTTTAAATTAATTTAAAAAGGGAAAAAATAATTTCGTAAATGAAGAATTCGGCGGAGCAAAAAAGTGATTAATTTTGTTGTTCTATGAACATTTGTATGAAAAAAATACAGCACTTGTTATTTTTTACTCTTCCGTATTTACTGGATAGCATGCTTTTTGGAAACTTTTCAAGAGATCATCTCGATGCTTAACGCAAATAAAATCGGCGAGAAATATCCAGCTGACACTGCTAGGGGAATTTTATAAGATTGAAAAAAGGAAGGTAAAATGATTATAAGGTTAGTGAAGAAAGACTTGATTAAGATTGGAACTGACTCCAATTCCAACCAAAAAACGGTGATTATTGCTGGAAAAAAATGCAAACTACAATGAATAACACTTTAATTTTCATTTTTTTCCTGATGATGCCAGCCTATTTGAGCATAGCCAAAAGCCAAATTCCTTTGAAATCGAGTAAATATCTGGATGCTCCACGGTTTATATCATTGAATTAAGCAATAAAAATGACAAAGAAGGGTAGAGGAGATTGGATAACTTAAAGAAAGAAAGTGACAGTTGAATGATCAAAAGGTACAAATGTTAGTCGATTCAAAAAACGAAAGTTTTATGAATTTATCAGATTCTTAATATAATTTAGAGAAGCATTTTTTAGACCAATGCTAATTATATGTCATATTTACGCATATGATTGTGTTATTTATTTTACTTAAGAATTTTGAAAAAAAAGTCTAGCAAATTCGGAATTGGAGCGATTAATGATCCTTAATATACCAAATTTATTTAGCATAAAAAATATATGTCTAACCTTTTAAAAAAAACGCATTTTTCAAAAGTTGTTTATCAAATTGCCGTAACCAAAGCATAATTGAATTTTTTATACTTTTTTCTTTTTACTTAAAACCTCCTTCAAACTTTACATTTCCACAAATTTAGAAAGCTGCTTCTGCAAAAAATTATAGCATATAAGTGATAAATTTAACTTTCAACTATCGAAAACTCGTTTTTTTTTATTCATCAAGTTTTGACTGAATCATAACGCAGTGCTAATCATGTGCTGATAACGATAATGATAACAGTGACAGAACACTGTCATTAGTATATCAGGCAAAATGATATGTCATAGTGTTTCATTCGGAATAGCCTAATATTTAATGTGGTAATTAAGAAATTTGCTGGCACTGATTACAAATTCGAAATTGTTCGACAAGCATATAGCGAAATTAGAGAGGTAATATTGCCAATATTAGGCTTGTACCATTTTTTAATCTGAGTGGTGTTAACTACACATCCTTCGAACCATTTTAAACATTTCCGATAACCATATTCACAATTATCAACACCGAGGAATGTATAAAAATTCAATAAAAGAGAAATAGTGTTAAAAATGATGATGGCATATCTAATAAGCAGAAAAAGTGAAATTTCAATTAATTTTACAAATGAATAACTATAAAAAAAATTGCTGGAAAATCATTGAAATTGTGTTAAAAGTTTTCAAGACAGCTTTGCTAACATAATGGAATTAAGCAATGTTTAGATTGGACAAGAGGTATAGATTAAAAGGCATTTCTCTAAAAGAATTTCTCCAAAATATTCAACGAAGAATGGAACTATAGAAAACATAGTGCATTTAAAAAAACATCCAAATAAGCCAAAATTTATTTCAAATACGCAGTGTTTTGGACTACTCAAGAAAAAATACCGAAAAATTAAAAATATTGGTGGCGAATTTTTTGGCTGGTTTCAATACAAAAAGAACTTTACCTGATCTTTTTGAAAGGCCAAAACGATTAGCCAAGCTGACCCGTTGCCCAGCTTCCTTTTGTCTTTAGATTTTTTCAGAATCAGCATCAAAAAGCTAACGACCGATTCCAGTTTATAATTAACATTCTAATAAGAAAAAGAACTTTCAGAAAATCTTTACGCAAATTTCTTGTACTGTAAATTATGCAAATTTTTGCAAGCTGTATAAAACTATCAAAATAGACAATTACCATTACTTTTTCTATCAACTTCCATTGTACCATTCATTAACAACAATAAGTGACTTGATTTGAACGAAATGGTTTCACTCGGTAGCTGGCAGCGTCTTGTATTCGAACTGATTTTATTTGCATTTATTGGTATTCACTTCTGCAGCTTATTTTTGGGCTATTGAAAATTAATGAATTGCTTTATAAATTAGATTGAAAATGTTGGCTGAAAACCAAAAACTTTTAAAATCGATTTTCAAAAAAAATTTCAAATTATTAAAATAATCTCTCTCCGCCATTTATGAAACTGAAAGGTTTGCACTGAATTCGAAACATGACTGAATCTGTCTGGATGCAAGTTATTGTGATAGAAATTATTGTGGTAGAAATATGAATAAGAAGTGTCACATTAGATGAAAACAGGAAGACATTGTTTGATTTGGTATTTATCCCAAAGTCCAATGCAAGAACTGTTTGGCTACAGCACTAACAGAAGAGATTCTAGTACTCATTCAAATCCCTTAAAATAATTTTCAGTATTATTTCATTTCATACATCACATGGATTTTTCAAAACATACAGATTTTCCGAATTGTTCTGTTCCAAATCTGATCTCTTCTATTGTACTCAACAAAGTTTTATTCACTTTATTTAAATTTCCAGTTTCATTATCTTCTTTTCGAAGAAAAAAAATGTAATTTGTCAATCATATAACTGTCATTGTCCTTTTTTGGATCACAAATTTTTACGTTATTATCATTTTTTAGATTACAGAATTTTTAATCTATAATAATGCAGATTTTAGAATAAATCAAAATTTGCAGTTCGGTGGAATGAAGGTTTAAGCGGATATGAAGCAGATTCGTGGGGTACCGAATTCATTTTCATACTACCACAAAATAGCCATTTGAATCGAGCTGCTTGCCATATTTTTGGGATGGACAAGCAAAAAAACATTACAGTAAATATTGAATACAATGTTTTAAGCAGCAAAAATAATGGATCAAAAGTTGGAAAAAAGAAAGACAAGTTGGTCATCCGTGCTGCTTATGAAGTGTGTTATTTTGCTTTTCATTTATGTTACACACAAAAAATTATTTTAACTCAGAAAAGTCAGGAAATGTTACCCAAACAAACTTGGCATCAACGCTTCAAGTTGAATTTGAGGAGAAATAAGATTATGTTGCAGTACGATTTTCACAACTTGACAATGAATGACACCGTCGAGGGATTGCACATGTTGGCAGATCACCGAATACATATCACTTCTTCAGAAAAGATATCAATTATCGCCTATGTATTTGATACCAAATCTGCTGCTGTTGATTACTTTTTAGGTTACTGCTATTCCCATATTGCTCAATTTAATCCTGGTCAAATACACTGTTGATTGAATTTGCTTCATATGTTCAATAGGTAGTCCGGACGTGTATGATGAGATCACACGTTCCTACACGTGCTTTCAGTACATCCCGTCGGAATGGGAGGTGATTATTATGCGTTCTCACTGCCTGGACGTGGTACCATGACATTATACTTTTTACCGTTTGGAGCAACAAACGAAACAATAGCACAAAGCCATGGCGTTCACAATGTTTCAATAACAGTGAGACAGAACAATAAGTTAGAAACCGTTAAACAAACTATGAAGGTATTGTAAACAAATTTGTAAACAAAATGAAGATGGTTGGAAAGCGGTGTAATAGCCTGAAATAATGCACAGTGTTAAGATTTGAAGTGCTGCTTAAAGTTTTTAAAGTCCGAAATTTTAAGAGCAAAATACTTTCACTTGGAAAAGTGTTCCAAAAGATCTTTTTCATCACTGTCCATGCATTCTTCATTTAGGGAAATCGCTGCTTTCCAGCTTATCGGCATCCCACCAATTCGAGAATAGTTGAAAGCAAGTATAAACAATGTTATTTATCCAGGCAGGTTCATTATGGCAATATACAGCACCTGTAGAACAGACGATATCGATATGGATTCGTGACCAATTAAATAATCCCAATATTACAAAACGAAGATCAAAAGTGCGAACGATATCGAATGTGGAAATAGCTCGATTGATCGTCATAGCTTCAGTCCGAAGTATACCGATGTCAGAAGACAATACAACAAACTTTGGCTGTTTCATGCCGACTCCGATAATTGTTGATCGTTCGCTTTTTGAACCTTTTTCGAAGTGGATGCTTACTTAAATTTAAATACAATTGAACTTACATGAGTGCACACTTGACGCTTGACTGTCATTTTGACGCAGTTCAGCAGGTACATAGGACTCCAATTCATTCACCTGCAGCATGTGGTGGCGATGAGAAAAATTATAATGGTAGAAAATAATTTGCAGGATGCGCCAAGCTGACAGATCCCGTGTATTATCCAACAAGTGAAGAGTTCGCGAACAATTTACTGTTAACAGCGCCATCACACCTATGTCCACAAGATGAGATTGATATCAGAAGCAGTATGAAAGAGGACCCGAAGTCATTATTAGTGAAATGGGATGAGGCAGCGGAACGAATCAGTCTGAAGGACGAATTTTTAAAGAAAACATTTGCTATCATCTCAGGGTTTGCTTTGCAGTTTTCCCACCAATAAATAAATGCAACAATCTCCGCTTTCTTCTTCATTCCAAGAATAGAGTTGGCAAAAATTCTTCCAACGTTATTATTCTCCTGACAGAACGTGTTAGATGAGCTTTTTCCTGATAAAATGAACATTTGAGAACAACGATCATGAATATCGTGCATTATGGAGGCAATAATGGATCGTTTCTTCATGAGATTCCTGCATATTCTCAGTGGGTCAATGGGGACTCTTCAGTTGTGGTACCAAAAGATTCAAAAGCCACTCTATATGTATGCTCTTCATTCCTCATCTCTCCATCTCTTAACAAATACTTTGCTTTCAGAAACTTGCCATTCAAAATTTACAGAAAGGCACACACAGAGAGAGAGAGAGAGAAGTGATTTTGATATTTTAGGTTTTAGCGGACGACTACGGAAGAGAGGCAACAATGGAGGGTTTTGAATACCCTTATTTCGAAACGGTGGAAGATGTCTCGACCGATTTCAGTCTCTACTTATACACTCGCTCACTTAATCCTGGCGTCTATCGTGTTGGGATCGATCAGGAATTGGGTGGCCGATATATTGCCATCCTTATATCCGAAATGAATCGCCATTCTATTGGTTATGTTGCTGCCATCAACCGTATGTTTCACCTTAAATCATCCTTGTCCGACGTTGTCAGATTTTATGCAACAAGACATCTCATTTCTGAGGATCGCATACTAAGTAACCCTTTTGATCATTCAACAAACAGTTCGGGAAATTCAAATTTTTACCAGATTATTTTCTGAAACTTCAAAATTAAAAAATAGATAGCCTAATACTATTAAAAATGAAAAACTATGAGCGACTTATAAAAGAAATCAGGTTAGAGTAATCGTAAAACTTACAGTATTACTAAATGTTTCAATCGTACTGATTATTGTGCATAAATTATTATTGCTCTAATACGTTAAAATTTGGGCTACCTTTCAGTTCACAGAATTTCACCACCGATATTTTTAAAATATTCTACTACCGGTAAGCATCAAATATTTCATGGAAAGAGAAGAGAGTACGAAAAAGGGAGACGGTTTTTCTTGCTTGCCCGATACTGTCCTGTTCAAATCTTAATCCTAAACAACTAAATATGATAAAGATAAGTTTGAGAAACAAATTTATTTCTCCTCCGTATTTATTTACCTCTCCCCTCTCTTACTGATATTGTATTTAAGTTAGCACGACATATTAATTGCACTAAAACGAATTCATGTAAAGAACTTCAGTGAGGAAGTGAGGAAATAAAGTATGAAATGAAACAAATTGATAGCTTTGAATTTCAGTTGATTTGACAACGACGGAATTGACTACGACGCCTCTGATGGTTTCAACAATGACCACAGTGACAACAACTCAAGCTGCATCTCTTAGTGTACTTGCAAATAGCTTACTTGCAATTTACGTGTGTTTCTTGGCATACGATGAAAGCGAACAATGATGTGATCATAATATTAGCAGTGATAGTACAAAAAATCCTCTGAGTGATGATAATAATATAATATTGAGTAATAAATTCGATATTTTAGAACATTGAATATTGGAATTCTTTTATTTCTGATCTTTTATCTAACTGACAATAAATAATGATTATTAATTCTTAGAAAGATATGTTCTGAAAATATTCAAACAAGCACATATTAAAGGATAATACTCAATCACTCATTGTGGCGTATCATTGGAATGTTATAATGGACGTCATTGATGGCATGCGCCAGCGTAGATTCTGAAATATATTGCATGTAATCTAACTTATAATAATTTATCATCTTTATTGCTGCGTCACTATTATTCTTCCAAGTTTCACTATTCTTTTTTCACTGTCATCAAAAAATATTTTATCCTCACATCATTATCGAATTATCATGATCTCTATCATCGTTTCAATGCTTACTTTTCACTCCTATCATTGTGCTTTTTTTAAAGGGATAAGATGCTTAACAAATCTTTGTTACTTGCAACACAACCTTTGGAAAAAAACAATGGGAAATGGAAGGAAATAAATAAAACACTATTAGATATTGAGTATATATCTGACAGTAAGTAACTCGGCCAATTCCATAGTAAATTATAGGAGATACAAATAATGTGTAAATTATTGTCGTGGTGAATTAACGGTCTGTTTGGTGAAATGAGACAAATAAACAAAACCTTATATTTTAGGAGAGCATTTACAGAAAGATAAATGGACAGAAATTTGTAAATAAATTTTCTTATGTGAAAAAAATGGGAATTGTTGGAGATTGCTCGTTTTTACATTAATCGATATCATTTGTAACAAAGCGAAAAATTACTTCGAAATAACTGTCGAAAATGAAGATTGTGCATAATGAAGTGAATAAATACTGAAATACTGAGTCAGAACCATTGCGTGTTTGATCTTGCTAGAACTTTTTCATTATCATATTTTTTGAAACTAAAATAAGATAAGCAAACTTTTCATCAGACAGCGTTTTTAAATACTCTTGAATTTTTAAACAGTAGGTTTGGAATGAAATTTAAATATACTTTATTAAGCACATATTATTTAGGATCAAAGAATTTCGAGTCGATGAAAAAAAAATCTTATTGCATTTTTTGGTTGAATTCATAAGGCTCATTTATTATCATCTTTACGAAAAATTTTCTGTTAACAAAAAAATCTCAATTACCGAAAATTTTGAAACTGAGCTTTATTCATTCAACCAACAACAATCATATCTTTTTTTGGAAGTCAAAAACATTCCCACAATACACCATCTCGGAAATCCATAATACAAAAATTATCAAACCAAATTCATGAGAAGTGTTCCTCAATAAAATATATAAATTTATTGACAAGTTAAATCTAATTTCTTTGTATTGCTACAATTTATTAAGAGATTGCCTTATAAGCCTTTGTCCTTTAATTGTTCTTTGTCTTTTATGTTAAACAAATGTAGCCAACAAGTAATTAAACAATGCCCTTTGTCCTCGTCGCTTTTTTCTTCCACAACATAACATTGTCTGACCTTGGGGTCATCTATTAAGCCCATTATCTACTATCCTTGTACCGCCCCACTTGGGATATAGTCAAATATACCAGGAGAGGGGAGGGGGTGAACCTTTTCATCCATTTCAACATCCGTACGCTTTCTCATAACTGTCATCGAATCAATTGCTAAATTTCATCATTATTACCTCTCTTCGCAGTCAACTTCAATGATCGCCAACTAAATATTTATCAAGTTTAATAAACTACATCAGCTAGCGTAGTTTCTCACTGTATCAAAGTCAACATTGTCTGGAACAAACATTCCAGACCAAGACCCGAATAACGAATCAAGCCTAATTCATTCGATAGAACGATTAATTCCCATCCCAAAGAAGTACAACTAACCCACGTCGATCCAAAGACCTAAAGAAAAAACCTTCACCAACAAATTCGACCGTGCCACACAAAAACAAAGCTCTCCCAAACTAAATCAAATCAAACAAACCCATTCACAACAACATCCGGCTGTGATAATGAAAGGAGTGTATATATTATTGCTTTGTACTTAAATCAATTGAGATTTTAATTAATTTAAGTTTAATGAATGGAATGATAAGGGAATTGCCAACAACTGATTGGGCATACGTTTTAAACCTTGTTTGTTATATTTCATTTCTTTTTCTTTCGCAATTTTATGTAATAATTTCTAGAAACAAGGATATTCTCATTAAAAAATTTCTATCCTGTCTTTACATCCTTGATTAAAATGTTAAAAAATATTAAAAGATCTAATAACAAACAAAGTGGTATAGGATGAGATATCGTAACAAATGTTGTTTTAAATTGGGTGAACGAATTATAACATGGTGAAATCGGTCGTTTAAATGAATCACACATTGACACTCATTACGATCTTATGCTTCTTTAACGATAGAAATAGTTCTCTGGAAAGATTCCCATACACTAAAGTTACTTATTATTGAGAAAAGTTCAAAAGAGAATTTTAATTGTTTTCTTAAACGCTTCTTAAAATAACACAACACGTACATGAACTCTTTAATTGTATGAGGCAAAATGTGAATTGGTTGTGAGTGATACACACTGTTTAATCTTCTCAGAAATTCTGCAAGCTTTTCTGTCCGTGTAATTCACATCATCCCTCAGTTTGGTCCTTCATCGAACGAAAGACAATATCGGGAATTCTACAACGAGATCTCTTCTCATTATTCATGAAATAATGGATAGGAATAGAAATTAATCTGAACTTCTGGAAGTTTCAGATTTCTTATCTGCTTTTAATATCAGGAATAGTACTTGTTGAAAGAAGGCAACGTTACTGATATTGACATTGATGCAACGCTGATCGCCTGAACATTCGTAATCATAAGTGCATGGTTGCATGAACGTCGTCTGCTTTGCAGCTCTACAGAAATAGAGACTCTCTAAAACTTTTTCGCAACGCTGAAAATTTTATAATAAATTTAGACCGAACGACAATCATTTAACAAATTGAATGGTACAGTAGAGTTTTAAGATTCTTCAAATGAATAAATTTCATAACCTTAACCCTATTCTGAGTTAAAAACTAAAGTTTGAGTTTGATTGCATAATTTCACTTAAAACGTTTACACACTTGAACTGGATCGAAGTCGAACTGGGTGAAGTATAGCAAAATTGTCAGTCAGCTGTTTTTAATCTTATTTTTGAAAGGCCGGATAATACAAGAAAAGTAATTTAAAGTTAGAAAAGTTAGATTTTTTTAGATATCATATGATAATAATTTAAATATTAAGAAATAAAGCACCTGTCCAGACTGACAGTCAGCGTTAAAACGGCATTGTCGATTGCTTGCTGTCGGATTGTAAATACAAATGCGATCAGCTGAGATACTTTTTTTTGCGCAGGTTTCAAAAACAGAGCACTGAAGCTTAAAAAGTAATGAGAGCGGTAGTTTGACAGTAATTCAGGAATAGAAATAAATCGGGTCACTTTTTGTGTGATGATTAAGAAAAAGCTTTTTTAGAGTTTTAATCATTATTGTGCGATAAGATCACTAAAAGGAAAAAGCAATTACCTGATAATCAGCGGTACATTGTACTTCAAACTTCTTTGAAATAGCACCCTTACCTATCAGACTCGATGGAATCACACCGCCCCCAATATTAACATTCCAAGATGGAACCATCTTAATGGTTCCTCAAAATACAATTTACATTTTCCCTTGAATAAAAAATATTTTGCACCAATTTGATTAGATTAATAAGACTCAGAAAAAATATCGATTAATTTGGGTTGATTTCATTGTTCAAATATTGAAATGCTTTAGCAAATTTCAAAATTTATGATTGGGTAATGTACACTTACGATATTCAGGTGTTGTTACACATAAATTGGTATTATACTGCTTACTGAATGAACATATCTGTGCTATATCGCAATCCGCATCACTTTGGCATGTTTTGTATTGTAGCATTTCGGATATCGTCTGAATGAGGACGGTTCGATTTTTTGAAGTTGATTTCATGAATCATTAACTTACTAGATGATGACCTGACATGACTAACCTGACATGTCCTTATGCCATTTCTATTGACACAATGAAAATGTTGAGAACAATCGGCGTCATTGTAACATTGATTGTTTACTAAACCAGGAGCTAAACAACGTATTTTAAAAATTTTTTCAATTCATAAATTTCAAAACTAATAGTTCTTTAAAGAAATCTAACATAAATATCAATAATTTTTATTAAAAGTTAATATCATACTCAAAAAAAACGTTGAAAATAAGCGTATTGCGGAAATGTATGAATCAAAGCGGACCTTCCAAACAATCTGTCTTGTTTAGATATAACAATAAATTTGATCAACCGATGCCTTGAGATATTTCTACTTAGTGTGTTAAAAAATTTGATACTAACTTACTCCTCCATCCAACTGATCCGTACTGACAAGAGCCATACCAGCTAAAACGTATGCATTTGCCAAATGGGTAGCACTGTGCATCATTTTGACATAAAATCTGCTTTGGCTGTAAATTCTAAGGAATGAAATAAGAAATATTTTGGAAAAAAGATTTTCTCGTAAGTAAGAAACAAAGAAGTTTGATCTTTTCCTCTCGAATTGCTACTAACTTAATCATACAACAATTATCTGGCGGCATTTGTGTCAAAAAATTTTGCATACCATTGGTGTGTTGGATATTTGTGCAAAAACTTGTTGACAGAGCATAAAGCCAGCTATGTCCGGGGTACACCGTTCTGTTGGACCACATTGTGTGTCGTTAATACAGTCCTGTCCAGGCTTTCCGCTCTCAGATTGTATGATTAGAATTGAAAATGGCGCTAACAGCATCAGCGCAAAGCACATTCTGCTACTTGCAATCTCTGCAACTTTAATTTTTGTGCCCCATTTACAAAATGTCTTTCACAAAATGAGTACTCCGTTGTGTAAATTATAATTGTCTTATGTGTAGATTATTATCCCTTTTAAACAAAATTATTAAGAAAATAAAATGACTGATAAAAAGCATGAGGAAAGGAAATAATATTTTAAAGGGAAGCCCTTGGAAGGTAAAATTTCGTTGTAAAATACATTTTTAGATAGAAGTCCGTATGATTTGTCAATGCGAACTTAAATACTTTATTTTTCCATTTCCAGAAGTGTACTGTAAGCTATCATCGGCACACAAAGGCTTGCTTAATGATGCGTTGCAACACAGCCCGACCCTCCCACACCCCTTCACATCTGTCTTTTGCATAATTGCATTAACGAAGTTTTCATCCACAGATCCGGTTTTTTGTGCATTTAATGTCCGATGATTCATTCATTTCTTCTCGGTTGAAATGATGCGGATTTTATGAGCACTATTTGATGAATCTTCAATTTTTTTTATAAAAAAATAAAATTTTCGAAAAATATATCATGGTTATGTTGATTTCCAATCCAATTTTTTGCACAAAATCCAAAAATGTTCTTTATTTCCTGACATTTATTAAGTCGGTTGGAATTTCTCACTGAAGTAAATAATTTGTCCGGCATACTTGGTTTGTTTCCGTTTCTTGTCACTAATTTGTTGCTTCATTTTTAAAAGCCCTAGATTCAAAGTTTGCGAGAAAATGTTTTGAAGGCAACTGGAAAACATCACGTTTCCGATTTTGGTTTTCCAGAAAAGATTGATATAAGCAGTGTTTGGATACTTTTGTACAAATTAATATGTATTCTGAATCGGCTCCTCCCTTCTCTCGTTCATCTAAAATATAGTATAGTTGACAATAACATAATAAGTTATCGGTGTTTAGGCGCTAATTGCAAAACATAGTTCGGAGTAAAAGATAAAATGAATATTATTGTGTTTGAGTTGATTGCATATAATTCAGACGTCTTTGTCATTACATATTCACGAGTATGTTTATGTGAAAATGATTCGAATTGAATTATACTCATCAGAATTTACAAATACAGAAAATATTAACTTTGCAAGTGAATTGAACGGTTAATACTTATTTGACTATTTGCATCTGTCAACTCACTGAAGATTTTTTCGAAAAAACAGCAAATTTTGGTAAATGAATCTTCTTTCTGTGTCATTTGGAAATTGTGCTGGCCGAAATCGACGTTTTATTTTGAAATAGTAAAGTAAACAAAAGAAACACGAGAACTAGAATGAAGAATGGGCGATTGAAATCATTCGATCGGTTCAAGGATGCTAGCCGTGATCGTCTTGATGGATAATCGGACAGGATGAGATGTATCACTAATGCGTCGTAAAACACTTCAGGATCTTCACAATGCGCCACGGAAAAGGAAAGACGTAAATCATCAGCAACTTCATTAAATCATTCTGCGCTAATCATTGAGGTGAATAATAGTGCAAATTTCTGGAGAAAGACAATTGAAGGAGCAGCGAAAGTACAAATGTATTCTGAATTATTGTGAGAACAATTTGAATATGTCACATCTTTACAATCTCTAAATTATTTCACTGACTGTTCCTTCTTTCACTGCTAAGAAAGTAATAAAAAGTGAGCAGTTGGAAAGAAAGGTGGGAAAAAGACGAAGGAAGTTTTCATGAAGTGAGTAATATAATTGCGAAATACAAAGATTTCGAAACTTTTTCAAGTATCTCTGAAAAATAATATTGCCATTCCTAAACTTAGATGAATTCGATGAAGTAATAATGATGTATTCCGTGCTTCCGAGTATCATCTTGAAGCAAAGTCAAGCAATTCTAGTTCTTGAAAATGGTGCTGTCATTATAGCTTACACTTGACAATCTTTTAAGAAATTTTAAATAGCAACAGTTGAAAAATCTTTAGTTATAAATAGACATGTGCATTGCATGAAGGGATATGCTAAGAAGATATTACTGTTGTGGTCGCCATTAAAAATTCAGCCAACGGGACGAAAAGTCATCTGTCCAATTTTTCCGTGCAACGAAAAAGCAAATGAAACGAAGAATACAGACAGTTCTGTGCTTCTCGAAGAAGAGCAGGTGAAGTGAAAGTGATTTCAAATAATGTTGCGCTACTTAGAGTGGCAATAAAACTCTTATCAACGAATTAATTTTCTTTCCCGAATTCCGAATTAAGGACATTTTTTTTAATTCATGTATAATTTGTTTCATCAATGTGAAGCTTTTTCACTTTATTTTAAAGCTATAGATTTGCATAATCGAAGAAGTTTGGGGTGTCCTTAGTGGGACAACTTTTCATGCTCGATTAGTTGCTTATTTAAATAAATCAAAATATATTTCAAGAGGAATTTGCCGAGCAATTAATGATTATATTTAAAAGTTATTTGTAATATGATAAATTGAATTGATATATGCATAAAAAATAATCTAAAATCCAGACTTTTTTGGAGTAAAATCGAGCAAAACAAGCTGGAATCGTACTTATTTTTGTATAAACAACTGTCAGGATCGTATTCTTCAGTGAACATTTAGAAGAACTTCATAACTTCAACCTTTTAAATATATTTTAATAATTGATCTGATGCACATGATATATGCTGCGAACAGACTTCGATTCTATCTTTCCTCCTAAATTCGAAATAGCGTGCTAAAAAAATCACGAAAAAATTTGAGATGGTCATTCCTTATAAGAGGTCACAAAGAGAATTTCATCGCCATGGAACGATAATAACCGTTCAATAGTGAAAGTGATTTTTCGTCATTGTTTTTCGGACAAATCAGTGCATGGACATGGGTTTCGTTTCTGATCTTTGAGTTGCAAATTAATCAAATCATTGCTTTAAATTCTATTTAGCTTCGTAAAGTTTACTGAGTTGGCGACCGAATAAGCAAACAATCTTGGTGTCTTCACTTCCTCATTTGCAGAAATCAAACTGATTATATATTATTTTATAAAAAGTGAATAGCAAAAAAATTGGCTATACTTTTGTTATCTTAACTTGGATTAAGGAATGAGTCAAAAGTTTGCAAAGGAAGGGAAATTAGATATAAAAGTAAAACGACAAATAAAGCAAATGAAATGGATAGCACTCCTAATGCCAGTCACCTCAGAATGATTCCAAATGTAATCATTCTAAAAGTTTTGCTTTTTTTCTGACAAGTTTTCGATAAAAAAATTAATTTCAATGTATCCAAGCCAAATTGAATCCACAACATCCAATTCCTTAAACATCTAGCAAAGAGTATTTCTATAAAAGTTGAAAATTGTAAACGTTTTTCAGAAAAATTGAATTATGTAATATCTTGTTGAGCGGAAGAAAATTTTTGTTGAATTTGAACAACGGCATGAAAAGAAATAAATTTCAAGAAGAAACTTTATTACGTTCAATCTATTTCTAACTTACTTATATTTATCTAGAAGTTCAAACCAAATAATCTCAGCCATGGTATTCTCTGGCCATTACGATGGCGATGATGGTGATGATGTTTGTGATGAGGAAATTGCTTATTGCTTCCATGATGGCGGTGATGGTGAGCTCTATGATGTTGATTGTTCTGGTTACTGTAAGTAAGTAATTTCTTGACATTAGATTTTTTCTAGACTGACTGAAAAGTTATAAATCCTCGTAAGAAAGTATTTTTCACTATCATTCTTGTAATGTGACACGAATATATTTTGGGTACTTTGAAAAAGATAAGAGATAAAATAATTTCAGTGTGAAAAAATTAAAATAGCTTCAAGCAGTTGAATAGGAAAAGAAGTAAAAACTTGCAAAAAGTTTTGCAGTCGTCCTTCATCTCTGCTCTTCCACGACATCATATCAAGTTCCTGATGATCAACTGAGGTCGTCAATGATAAAGCGGCAATCAATAGCGCAAACGCCATTGAAGTTCTTTTCATCAGCATTGGTAATTCTGAAATACTGGAAAATTTTGACCTATGAAAAAAGTGACGCAAAATTCTTTGACCTAAGAGTAAGCATCAGGAAAGAATTAAAAGAAAATTGTTAGAAGAAAAAAGGACCTTTCTCTAAATTAACTTTTATCAATGTTAAGAAACGACTAATTTCCTGTTTTTACAATCGCTAAAATCTTGTAATAAACAAATTCATAAAGCTTCATGTTGCGGCTTAAGCTCTCATAAAACTTGTTATAGCTATTCAAATAAAAAGTGATGTAAGTGTTTAGGAGTGGGTGGCAACGACTTCTTAGGATTTTCTACCAAAACCGGCTTTTTATGCTAATCTGAAATGTTTGACCCAACACAATAATCCTGTTTACTAGTAATTATTCATCTACCAAACAACTTTTTGTTTGCGTGAAGATTCCTCGCTTACATGAAAGCACACCCATGTTTGTCTTTGTCCCAAATATCTTTACATTCCTTTATCCAATTTTCACCTTTCTCGAAGTATCAATTTACTTATTAAATGAGTATTTTGTTCTTTGTATTATTGTCAGAAAAAACTTTGCCTATCTTTCTTGTCGAATTGTTAAAATTTATGGTGCAATTACGCATCAAAAACGGTATAATATGTATGATTTTCTGTAATATGTATGATTTCCAGTGCTTCATACTTAACTCCAAATTTCTGCTGATAATGCGACTGAATGAAATATTTCGGGAGAAAATTTCAGTATGAAGCACTGGATCGATTTGACTATCGGTGTTTTGCATTTTATCACTGGAAACTGGTAAGGATAGTGTCATAAGTGCTAATACAAATCACCTAATACACCTCTTTCTATTGCCACATCATTATATCACCGATAATAATGAGACAATTTTTCTGAGAGGCTGTTTATATCTCTTATCATCCTACATTTGTTTATCAGATAAAGTCCGTAAATAATTCGATCAGAATTTAGTGATAAAGTATTGGAAAAAATATTAACAAAAGTGATATTGGTTCTTTGGGCTAGTCAAAATAATTATTATGGTATTCTACTACCCAATTGCATAATAAAAGAAAAGTGACAGCTGACCATAACTATTTCACACACCGATGATCTCATATGGTCTTTCCGATCTTATTTTCTCTTTATATTTCTGGATGGCATGATGTCTTTTTTCACTTCATCAGTAACGTGCTCACTGAATTTGCTGCAAGTATGGAATAAATTGAGCAAGCTTGCTTGAGATAATATATATGATAGCGCAGCTAAACGGCAATACAAGAAAATATATGAAATGTGGGACGAAATTGAAGGTGGCAATGGAATTTGATCCGTTTCGAACACCGTAAACTGATCAGTTATTTTGGAATGTCATAAGTAACCTTCCTGAGTCTTAACCAATACATAGAATAAAGAATTTGCCGCGTCTAACAAATTTGAAGTATATCTTCATATATAGATATTATTAATATAAAATTTTCAAAGAAATAAAGGAAGTGTAATAAGTAAGAAATCGCAGTACCTGAGCCATACAAAGTATGTTCTGCGATGAGGAATATTTGGGTCCGAGAAACAGGTGATGATATATTTGCGATTTAGATAAGTATTTTCCAATGTCAGTGCAGTGCGGTCGATATTATTTCTGACACACAACGAAGTGGATGTGATCAAAGATTGACAATTCAGGATGGGCTGTAAATTTGTCGTGCATTATCCAAAAGTTGACATGTGGTATGATGCTGCAAATATAAAAAACTAGATTTTTTAACTTAAAATTCAAATTTTTATGGAACAGGTAAAAGTGAGGGACAGAAATATTAGTAATTTTTAAATTTATCTCCTCTTTGCAAGAGAATTCATCCTTTTTGTTTGAAAACGTAACTTATCATGAACTATTTATTTCAAGAATTTCATTGGAAGATTTGAAAAGTCATGCAAATATCATTTTTTGATGGACCCATGGTGTCTGAATTGGATTTCAAAAGATTAAAGTTGCTCATTAAATTTAATTCTGCAAATTAAGAATCTCGCGACAAATGAGTCTCGAAAAACAATTGTTTTGCCCCCGGCAACAATAATAGAATTGTCAGATGAGAAAAAAGTGAATTACGGATAACCCAAATTTTGATTATCCACTGCACTGTTTACAGATATCTAATTCTTTCCAACAATATTGACAACCTTTTTGGCTGATCTGATTAAGGGATTAGAATCTGAATTTGTGATATGGATAATGCCTTCACAAATCGCTCCTAAAACTTACATTCTGATAATTTCAATTCTTAACTTGAATGATTCATTTCTTTTATTTATTGCTTTTTATTTTACCTATGAAGTAAGAGTGATATACATACCCAACCATAAAATTAAGTGATTGTCACTTTTAAGTAGGTTAAAATAGGCATACTACTATGTTCGCATATCTGCGGCGCATCTGTGTCATCAGAATAACAAATTAGTACTAACAAAAGTCAGCGTTCGAAATTGAATAGGGATGTGTTTTATACAGTAACTGACAATATCAGGTCGACACATGAATGACAAATGTCATTTTCGTTTTCTCCACAACTCTCGATGATGATCATAACAAAAGATTCCTCTAAAATGATCAATGCCTACCACAATTCTTTATCTCTTCAAGATAGTACTGCAACTGGTGCAATATATTAATGATGATGGATACATTTATAGTGGTGACAGTATTTTTACAACTAATCAATAATTGGTATTTATCTGCATGATTATGATAACTCTGATAGTTTTGATAATAGCAATATTAGATCAATAGCGATCTCTTGAATTAACGTTTTTCTAATAAATTCCCCACAAAAAAGCAAAGTAATTATAACCGAAAATGATTATTAAAATTGTGAATTTTGACCGAAAATAGATGGAAGGGTAAAAAGAAAAACAATTGTTCAATTCGTCCCCAATTATTGCACCCTCTGTTGGGTCCTTCTCTGCAATCTTTCCCTCATCATTTGCTCTCCAATTCCCCCAAATTTCTCTTTCTTATTTATTATCACTGATTGATGGTAAAATATACAATAATTCGAATTCGAGCAAAAGTAAAGAAAATTTCATTAAACGTCACATTTATCAAATTTTCGATTACCATTATTGGTAGAGCAGTACCAAAAGCAGGGTTTTGTGGTTTCGTGGATTAAATACTCTATTTTCTTTCACATTGTCACATGCAAAATTATTCCTTTGTCGTATTTTGATGGTTAATTCGCCACAAGAAAGTAAAAAAGGGAACTTTCTAAATGCAAAAATTGTCATTGATGTTCTCGAAGATGAAAAGTGTATGAGTGAAAAGAAAAGAAGGCTTAAGGATTTTCTAAAATAATTGAAACATTCCAATAAGGTTTTTTTATTTGCTTATTTAAATCACTTATTATTCGCCATTTGCTTAATAAGCAGTTCTTTTTCTTTGCGTTTATAATCTCTCTCTGCATGGGTGACTCAGGCCTAATCAGGAAAGGATCTTCCTCGTTGCGTAATGCACACACACACACACACACACACACACACACACANNNCACACACACACACACACACACACACACACACACACAACAGACAGACAGAAGACGGTATTGAAGTGAAAAATAAGGAAGAATGAGATGTGCGAGGAATTTTAGTGAAAGTGAAAAAAGGAAGGGGAAAAGAGAGAATAGTACAAATGGATGTTGGAGGAGAGAAGGAAATCAGAAAATGCATCTCCCGAACGGTAAATCATCGTTTGGAGGATATTGGAATATTGGAAGTGCGGCGGTGAGTGGGTGGAATTTATCTCTTCCTTCTAATCTGATTCACATTTGATAAAATTTTGATTCACAGTGGAATGAATATTTTAGCGATCGTCGGTTGACGTTAAAACTTGGAACGGTTTGATAGCTACGTCTACTTGGACGATGATGATCTCTGCTCCTCTGATCAGTGAGACGGATTTCAGTCGTCTCATCCATCCAGTCATCGCTTCTTTCTCTCTTTTCAGGAGTTATTCAGATTCTTCTCTAATTGCGAGGAAAATCAATAATTCTTCACTCATTCATCATTCCTCAAGAATGGGCGACAATTCCCGAAAGGATGGATCGTCACTTCTCATTCTATCGCGTACTGAAATTGAAAAACACCCTCCATAAAATGCGACCAAGAACAATTAATCACTGATAAAGGTTATAAAGAAAATGATCACTGCGACGAGATAAGAAAAAAACAAAACAAAAGATCGTTCATAGATGCGGTAGGTCTGTTTCGCGGAAACAGGTGTTGAATACCAAACGGAGTTATGTCCACAAAAAAGAAATCGAGTCTATATCCGACAAGCAAAATTAATTCATGTCCGGTGAAAAAAGATCAGTGTCCGGCAAATAAAATCTCTGGCAGAAAAGTTAAGTTTATTGGAATAAACGAAATAGAACAATGTTCAGACTAAAGGAGTAAAACTGGCCTTGGTCAGATAAACAATATGCAGAAAGTAAAAAAGCAACTGATCTGAAATATGCTCACTGTCTCACAGCTCTCCTCCCTGAAAGTGCTTACTGTATGAAATTATTTTTTTATTAATTATTACATTGATAATTATCCATTTCCTACTGCAAATCAAATTCCCGAAAAGATGAAATCGTTGCATATGAAACTGGCATTTCATCCGTTTAACTAATTGATATACTGATAATAACAATGATAATCGTAAGCTATATAAAAGTGAAGAAAATATTATGGAATCGAGATCATTTAAAGGCAAAAGTTATAGTTATAATTGGTTTCTTCGCAAGAAAATATGAAAGCAATTATTATCTGTTTTCCAATTAATTCAGCTATGCTCCTTGTCATCCATTTTAGCATCATCATTTGATTTTAAGGCTATCTGTCATCAGAATGCGTTTAATAATAAATTAAAAGAATGCTTAATGATGATGATAGTGAATATCTTGATAACAATAGTGACATTATAAGTGATGAATGTGATAATAAAGTGATCATGACAATGTGATATAAATAATAGCGTTGGTGACAATAAGACCGATCTTTCTACTCGTCAAAGTTTTTGAGTGTATTGATGAAAAATCGAAAATATTTGACCCGAATCTATACTGGTTTGTGTTGTTTCTTGTTCGAAAGTATATCCTTCATCTATTCAAACTGTTTTTTGCCTTGTTCTTTTTTTAGTTAAAATTTTTTGTTTGAAAGGCAAAAGAAATGAACGGATAAGATTTGTAAGAGGAGGTCACCGCGCTGATACGAGCAAAGAGACCGAGAAGGTGAAATGATACTAGAGGTTAGAGGGCATGGGGGCAGAATAACCGAAATGTCAAATGTCACTGTAGAAGCAGAGCAGACATATAGGATACCCCGTTTTCCAAAATTATATAAAAGGCAGTTATTTTCGTTAAAATAAGATGTAGGTGTCTACAACACCGGCAGCAACAACAACAGTTAGGTAGAGGGAACGCCAAGTAAACTTAGTTTCCAAAATCTAATCTTATCCAATCCCCCGGAACGATGCTTCCTCTTATCACTTTCTGCGCTACACTTATTGCATTATCTTATTCAATCCCCGTTGATAACGGTGTCGAAGGTATCACACGTTTCTTAATATATACATATTGAGAATGTTTGGCAACAGAATAAAGAATATTTTAAGAATATATTTAATTTTTGAAGATTTAATCACAGTTTTAGAAATTGTTTGAAAGTTTGCTTTCATTCTTTTATTTTTGATAAAATTAGATTTTCTTACAAATTCCTTGTTATTACTTTTTCAGTGCAATCCAATATACATTCATTTATAGGTGAGCCAGAAATTGAATGCGGACCAACTTCGATAACCATCAACTTTAATACACGTAATGCATTCGAAGGACATGTTTACGTGAAAGGTCTTTTTGATCAAGAAGGTTGCCGTAACGATGAAGGTGGACGTCAAGTTGCTGGAATTTCACTTCCCTTCGATTCTTGCAATGTTGCACGTACACGATCTCTCAATCCACGAGGTATGGTAATTTCACTGTTTTGCACTATTTTGATTAAACAAATTCTTGTTGAAAAGCTTCAGATATTTTAAGCAATTAAAAGATATTCGTAGCAAAAAAGTAGCTTGCTTCAGCTTATTGTATCAATCATTTTAACCTTTTTAAATTTTCTAGAATTTTCATGAAATTTCCTACAGGTATCTTCGTAACGACCACTGTCGTAATCTCCTTTCATCCACTGTTTGTCACAAAAGTTGACCGTGCATATCGGGTACAGTGCTTTTATATGGAGGCCGACAAAACGGTCAGCACCCAGATCGAGGTGTCCGAAATCACAACTGCCTTTCAAACTCAGATTGTCCCCATGCCTGTTTGTCGATATGAGGCACGCTTTTTTGAATCCGTATTTTGTCTTGAAACTCAAATCCAAAAACTAAGGAATCTATTTATGAGAGTTATCTCTTCATAATGAAAAATTGAAATTGATTTTTTAAAGTATCACACAAGTAACAGTAGATGAAAACACATATTTCAGATTCTGGATGGCGGACCAACCGGACAACCAATTCAATTTGCTACTATTGGCCAGCCGGTTTATCACAAATGGACCTGCGATTCTGAGACTGTTGATACCTTTTGCGCAGTAGTCCATTCCTGCTTTGTTGATGATGGTAACGGTGATACCGTGGAAATTCTGAACGCAGACGGTTGTGCTCTCGATAAATACTTGCTAAACAATTTGGAATATCCAACAGGCAAGTGATGTATGCCGAAAAAAAATAATAAGCAAAGTAATCTAGAATTAGTAGCAACTACACTTTCATTAAAACGTAAGCGAGGAATGATCTTTTCAAATCAACTAGAAAATGATTTGATTCAAAACAGTGACTCGAAATCGAAATTATCTCTGTTAATTAATTTGAATTCTTAGATCTCATGGCTGGCCAAGAAGCGCACGTATACAAATATGCAGACCGATCACAACTTTTCTATCAATGCCAGATCAGTATTACCATTAAAGAACCAAACAGCGAATGTGCTCGACCGCAATGTTCAGAACCTCAAGGATTCGGAGCTGTTAAAACGGCTGGCGCCGCAGTGAAACCTGCGGCAGCTGCTCAACTCCGTCTGCTTAGGAAAAGGTCTGCGGAACCGGAAAACATTGTCGACGTGCGAACTGATATTAGTGCTCTTGAAATCAGCGAAGACGTATGTCGTTTTTTGTTTCGTTTTGCAATTCTTTTTCTCGATTTTTATAGAAGTAATCAATAACTGCATACTAGGATGCAGAAGCAACTATAATACCTTCTTTCTTTCTCTCTCTGATTTTTCAACTTTATTTTTCCTCTTCTTCCATCTGATTCAAATGAAATTTCAGAATCAGGCTCTACCAGTTGATTTGCGTCATCGTGCACGTCTGCATCTCGGAGGACAGCCAATGGTACTTACTGCGGTACCAAATGGAATTTGCATGTCACCATTCGGTTTTTCAATGTTTATGGGTTTGAGTATTGCACTGATTGCTGCCGTTATCGTCACCATTTCCTTTAAATTTCGTCCAATGCAAAAAGCATGAATTTAAGAAAACAGTGGCAAGATGATAAGACTGCCATATTTCTCTCTCTTATTAACTTTTAATAACCAATTTAGCTAACGAAGGTTCAATGTGTAAAAATTAGCTATAGGATAACAAGTGATTCTTTTTCTATCGCTTTGTAGCCTCCGAACATTTCATTACTCAATATTCATACTGCTTATCCATCATTAGCACATCCATCAATTGTCGTTTATTATTGTCAGCATCTCGCTTAGAGTTTTCCCATTTGTGAAAGTATCACAAATGATACATGTATTGCCCAATTTTCACGGGCGTTTCTGTTTCTTCTTCTTTATAAGCAATCATTTATTTGCATTATTGCAATTAAAAATATTTTATTGCTGTCTGTTATTCGAAGCAAACATGGAAGCTAAAATTAAGCAATCGATTGACTGAATAATACGAAATGTAATTACCGGAATATGACTCATAAAGGCTATTCGACGCACTTGAAGTAGGCGTTATATCAGTCATATATCAGTTAACAGCACAATGGATCAATATCAGCATTCTTTCCATTTAGCAATAAAAACTTTTCATATCATCAGTTCTAAGTGAACTTGGCTGATTTCTTCAAATTAATTTTCGGTCTCTTACAATAATCTTGGCAGTTATTGGATAGCATGACGGGAAATTGCAAGACAAAAAAAAAAACGACAATTCGTGATAAGCTTCTTCTAGAATTTCAATAGATGGATGCATAACATTGAAATTATTGCTGTGTACATGCATGCATAGCAATAATTTCAATTGTATAAGAAAATTCACTTTACTACACATAAAGTTCTTTTTTTATTTCTTAATCTTTTTTTAAGTGCTAAGATGAAAAGAAAATGCTTCTTCCAAAGGAGATGTTATTTCCAGAATAGGCAATTTATTAAAGATTGATAGCCTCTGGGCTTCTGAATTTCCTCCTCCAGCATCAAAGTCATATTCTAAATTGCGGTGTTTTGAAAATGCAGAAGTTTGCCCTCTCTCGACTGTTATAAACGAAAATAACAAAGGCAATTTAAGACTAAAATACTACTTCATGCAAAATTTTCGTATTAAAATCCCAAAAAATCATAGTGTAGTATCGTAATTTTAAGTGGATGATGAATATCGGACGGTGGCTTATCAATTTGCTGTTGTTGAAAATAAATTTTGGAAAGTTGGATTTCATGAAAAAAAATAGAGAGGTCATACTGTTCGATGCTTTATTTCATTGAAATTTGGAAGATGGAATTTCTTAGCTGTTCATTTATTTTGAAAAAAAATATGAGAATTAAATTTTTTCAAGGAACCATTGGAAGATCCAACGACTAACTATTACACTCATCCGATACGCAGCAGTATAATTTTTGTCAAAGTTATATTTCGCGAAAAATGCAAAAAGTCCAAAATCAATTTTTTTATTTCATATTAGCTTTAAACATTCATTGTGAGCAATATAGCAAAGATTTCGGGTCATATTTTTAGAAAATTTATTAATCTCCTTTGCTTGATCTGTCTGCTAATTACTGGCTTGGCCACTTGATCTAATGCGCAAACTTTGACGAATTATTCGTTAGCACAATTTCAAAATCGTAGGAATTTTCTAGAAAATTTAAAAATCTGTTGACTTAATCTGAATGTTTTTTAAGATTTACATTTTCTACATTATACAATAATGAATCGGCAACACCATATGTCATTTATGAAACGACCAAAAAGTTCGTTAGTTTTTACGTCAGGTTTTTTTTAAATAAAACTCGCTACTATTTTATGTTTAAGTGTTTACTTTAAGAAAGCTAACTTCGAATTAAGCTCCAGATATTGTTGAACACCTAAACATAAATCTTGAAAATCAAAATTTCTTTTCGCTAACTAGAAATACTGAATTCACTTTCAGATTTCTTGTTGGAAATAAAGTCAAAGATTTCCAAAGTAATAGCTGATTCTCTTGTCTTTGTTTCAAAATATTTCCTTTTCTCTTTCATGCTAGAATACTTTTTACCGACGAGCATTTCATAATGAAATTTTTTTTAATGAAATCATAATGAAATTTTTTTTTCACAAATCATAAAAGTTCCTATAGGTTAAAAACTTTCAGTGGAGCGAAATTGAACTTTGGGTATGATTACGATCGAGAGTTGTTCACATCGTTGAATAGCAATTATGGGTAAGTTTTTCATAGCATTGATAATAAGTAGTGATAAAGTACTAACAAGCAAAATATCAGTTCAATTCTTAGGTCAATAATACTTGTAGCAATGTAACAAAATCTATTTGGCATTGCCCATCTAGGATGAAATTATTTTTTAAGAAGTCATGGTTGATGGAATCAATTTTTTAAACTTAAAAATTTCTTTTTTTGGTCTATTATAATTTTACTTTAATCAGTAAAATGAAAGACTCCATCTCCGAGGATATTGAAGTCATGCCGCACGGATTTTCATTTATCATTTTATACGGAAGTTGGAAAGCTAATCTTGTCTTCAATGGAAGGTCGCTGAGTCATAATTTTTTTTAAATTCAGTTATAAATTTTCAAAATGTTTTAGAGAATAAAAATGAAAGGTATCTCTACCATTTAATCTTAACAAGGAAAGGCCAAGCTGTACAGTGCCAAATCTTTCTGGAACTGGAACTGTAGGCTAAATCAAATGGAATATTGCTATCATATTGTTTTGTTTGCGAAAGATAAACATTTCCTTCTGGAACAGTGTAAATATCGCCATTAAAGATTCATTTACGGATAACAGAAATAAGAATGTGTTCTCAGTCGAAAATTAAAATTTCGAAGGCAGCAATTGAAATTGTAGTAAACGGGGAATTTATGTTTAGATTTTATTTCATCAATGGGCAAGGTAAAATGTTGATGGATAGCGAATTCGATTTCACTAAACCAATAGCACACGTTTCCGGATGTGATCCACGAAAGCAGCAGTACTTTTTAAAGTATTTTCAAATATTCGAGTACTGAGCGCCCATCAACGATTTCCTTTTCAGAATTATTATTCGTCAAAGCCCGTATGTGGATCCCTTTAATTGGGGAAGCTATCTGTGGATGTCAAATATGCGAGCATTAGGATCAGTGGAGCAGGATGATACTATCATTTGTTCCTTACGATATTTCCCAGCTGGTCATGGATCGTTCGTTTTTATGTTCCCACATTTAGGAAGCCAATACTGCAATTGGCAGAGAAGAGGAAGGATTGAAGTTTTTAATTGGTTCATTTAGAACTGTAAGACTCTTAATTTCTTGCTCTCAACATCCGCCTTCTGCATAGATTCATGCTTGGAACATACGGACAACGTAACCGAAGTTATCTTCACTCTCCTCGTTCCTTCATGGGATTAACGTTGAATCACGACAGGACCCGTTTTTTTGACATATTATCCGAGAAGAAGAAGCTCTTTCTTACGTTATTTGGAGCATACGATGAAAATAACCGTAATTTTTTTTAAAAAAATTAATAAAATTGTTGAAGCGACAGAAGTTCTACTTTAACTTAGTTTTCATTCATTTATATTTCGAGAATGATTTTTTTTAATGTCTCATTTTTAATTTGATTAATCAGTCATGAAATAGTGTGGGGCGAACTATCCGGTAGATCAACCATTCTGATACATTCTCTGAAATATTTACTGCTTATTTTTTATTCAAATCCAAAATAATATGCAAAAAAGATTGTAGACAAGGAAATATTCTGCTGCTTTCAGATATTCTGTTGGAGAAAACACATGACGAATTCGATTTGAGTATTGCTATGACCCTTTACGACTCAACAATCAAATATCGAGTGACCGGAAGCATCGCCACGGTATGCTTCTTTCCTTCAGTTTCTCAGGAAAACATATTCTCTATTCGATGTGAAATTTGACCGAACTTGATCATCTGCAATTCTTCCAAGTAAAGTCAGAGAGAAGAATTTCCAGAAATAGCCTTAAGAAGTGCACACATGTCTATTCGGTGCAACTAAAACAAATGAATATATCGGAAAGTGTTAGTGAGCAATCACCACAATCTTTCGAAGTGATTAATGACATTTGTTCTAATGATCAGATCATTCAGGTCTATCAGAGCGGATGTGGTAACACACCAGACGGTCTTCCAGATCCTTGCAAATCTGATCCTCGTGATTTTTATTTCAGTTGCTTGCATGTCGGATATTACTTGAGTGAGTGACATTTCCAAGTTAAAGCAAATCATTGCTAAACAAATGAAATTATTGCTGCAAGAAAAAGTTTGATGATTTCAGCTGAAGAACGAGAGACAATTCCGAATCGAACTGCCAGTCATTGTAGTTTAGTTGGTCCAAGTCCCTATAGAGACATACTTGATCGGAGCCAACAATTAAGATACACATATGGATATTGGGGTTATCTTCCTTCTATATTTCTCATCAAATGTCAGTCCTCTGTTGCTTGTATGAATTCACCTTCAAAAATACCCTAAATCAACCAATTCTCTTTTTCAAATTAACTCACACTAAAATTTTACTTTTCAGAAGATTTAACACTTATGCATATGCAAGATGAGGGAAGTAGCACTTTGGTTATCGATGGAGTGCAAATGATACCACCAGTAGAACTCGAGAATTTCGATATCGATTGGTTCTGAAAATATTGCCAAAGAGTTTCTCCTTTCCTCCTTTCTTTTTTCATTATCAGTTTGTTTCTTCTTCTCCCTTTCTTTTTTATCA